GTATAGCAGTGTAGGTCTCATTTCAAATGTCCACTTCGACTTGGGATCTTTCCCTTGTGAGCACGTGCCTTCCATACCTAGTATCCTTCCCTTGTTAGTGTCCCCTCAACAAGTTGGTCTACATAATCGTTCAATTGGTTTCCACAGAGCAATCATTTTTCAGGAACTATATCTGAGCGAGGAGACTTTTACTAGTTTTCAAAAAAATAGCAGAACGGGAGAATAATTTCTACATTTCATGATAGCTGACGTATTGCCGAAATCAAAAATTTATCGGATTTTGCACACAAATAGGAGCACAGCATATTACTAGACTGAGAATATTGGAGCAGTAGACCTGGAGAGATGGATATTCGACTACTGGGAAAATAATGCCAAAGATTCTACTGGAGTAATTATTGAATTCTCGACTTTACAAGACAATAGTTTTCTATTCTTCCAACTGTTTAATGCGAACCGTGAGGAAGTCTACAGACCTGAAGTAGAAGTTTGCACGGATGACTCATCAGTACCATTCCGTGGTAGAATAGTTTTCAAGCAACAAGCAGTACATCCCTTCCAGAGGCAGAAATATGGAATAAAACGTTCAAGCTATTTTGTGAAGGTATTACACATGGCGGATTAATTGTGGGGTTTACTTCGATTGACAGCCCTCAAGCAAGGATCCGATAGGTGTATCTGCTGTGGTCTAACTAATGAGCTGACTCTTGAATCGAGGAGTACGTCTGTGCTGATAACTGGCATTCCAGCGTACCTCAAGCTCAAGGCTTATTGGAACATAGTACCCGCCTGTGCGACACTCGAAAAAGCCGAAAAGGAACGCTAATAAAAGTCGAGGATAGGAAGCTGAAAAGAGGGCAAGTTCTCAAAAAACTTGTCACAAACAACTAACTCGAGATTATGGACCTGTTTACGCATCCAGTAATACAAGACGAGTCAATACCAGGGGCAGTAGGTGTTAAAATCATTTCTGATTGTGTTTGAAAAAGTGCACAAAAAGGGTGGTTTTCAAAAGAGGACCGAATTTATCAGTAGTTTCCAGAAAGTAGAAATGTGTTTCCCAGCGCACTTTATGCATAGTAGTATTTAGTTATTGCCAGCCCATCAAATACACTAGTCGAGGAAAGCAACCAATGAGAAGGGTGCGGCGTTGAGTCGCGCTGTCGTCAAAGGGTTTATATAGTCAGTAAGCTTTCTTCTTTTTTTCCAGCGCATTACAGCGAGGTTAGAAATTACTTAGACAAGAGAATCTCCGAAATTTAATGTGAACTCGAATTACAGCTCTAGACAATGGTAGGTTTGCCTCCTATTCTTGTCTATTTACTATCATCTCAGCTGCTATACCGTCTCGGAAACTTGTCACGTGTTCTTGATTTTTCATTTTCTTTTTTCATTATCACTCTAATTGCTGAACGTCCTGTCCACAGTAAGCATTGAACTCTCTTCTGTTGCTACTTTCTAACCAAAAGTTCCAAGAGCTGAGACATATAGAGATGTCAGATTTCAGCTCATGCCCCGTACATATTGGCGCGCCCTCCATCTACCGCTAGTTATCGGGCTTCTCTTCCTTCCCACTTCCCATGCACTTTTTTCAAACCATTCTTATTTTCTCTGAACTGATCTGAAGATTTTTATTTAAACCACCTCGCACCTCGGTGCACACCCATCTCTTTCCTTGTCTCCACTTTTTTCCGAATGTTTTACAAGAGAATCTGAATTTCCGACTTTAGCTCCGTCAATCTCGGTGTAACTTCCACCTGCGGTGAGCGTTTTCCCTTTCTTTCCAGAGTAGAATTGCCGAGTTGAGATCCGTCCACTCAAACACACACATACTCCACCCATCATGACCTTTTGACATTCCTTTCTCTGCTAGCCATTGTCCAGTTTTTTGTGGACCCCCAAAGCTTTTTGAACATGTTCCGAAGTTTTGATCTGACCCTCCCTCACTCAGCAGGCTGTTCAATATTTGGTGGCTAACACAACATTTGATCATTATTTGTTTGAAAACTTATCTTTTTGCCGTGCCTTAGAACGTTGCCAATTTTTTTTTTTGTAAATTTTCACTCCTAACTTTTATAACCTAGTTAATTTCCTTTGATAGCTTCAACTTTTTTTCGGATTCTAGACGTAACTGAACCTAGAGAATTCCTGTGTACCTTACAGTTGCAATACAGCGTCTTTAATATAGTAACGGTTTCAATGCAGTAGCCTTGAACAAGGTGTTAGGCTGCGGCTTCCATTGGTTGGTTGCTCTACATTTCTGATCAGTATAAAAATACCTCGAAATGAACGTGGATCTTACAAAAGTTTTTTTAGAACGCTGCCTCGTCTCAGTTGATGTATTTGAGTGTGGGGGTGGTTTGTGCCGTGGCATTGATGGCTCCAACTCAAGGTGATCCGGCTGCTGCTAACTCTCTTTTGTCTCATCATTTCCACCTCACTGTACCACAAAAGCTAGTCGCTGCTTACATTCTAGGAATTGTATCTACTCTTCTACTTCGCCCTATGACATGACATTTCTCTATTCTATTTCTATGGCTGCTGCTGCTCCATTGCCATCCTCACATTACATCATTTTTTCCAGCTGTTTTTTTTTTCATCACGTAGCCAAGATATTGACATTGTACGCCCGCACCTATAGTACGACTCACGTTTAATATGAGGGGCTCAAATAGTTGCAAGTCCCCCGATTCACGTCAGATTTATCATTTTGCGCGTGCGTTCTTATCGTTGTTTTCGCAAAATGAAAAATCGGACGTAAATCGGGGGACTGGTAACTATTTGAGCCCCACATACTAGACGTGAGTCATACTCTTTCTCGAGACGTCTTTCCTCAACTGTCTTCCATTGTATCAAGACTGCCCTAACTGATGGTTGTGCTCAGTATAACTGTATAGACCGATATCCATAACTGAGCACATTTAGGTTTTTATAGCCTATGAGGATTGGTTTGTTAGTATTCATCATCAGTGCGGGTTTGCCTTTATAAAATGTTTCAAAATGCCTCGAGTTTGGCAGCTCCATGAAAAATGTTCACAGTGGCTACCACCTGCAACGTAATTACCGAAAGGTATTCACATGCTGACGAATGTCAGGCTAAGTTCTCAAAAATGAAAAGTCCTGACACGATTATCGCTGGTTGGTCGAGCGGCAGGGTGCCCAAGCTTCGGCGATATAGCTAACAACGATACCTACACGATAGAAGGCATGCTATAACCAGCGTACTATGCCCCCACGATCCCTCACAGTGGACTTGATTTTGCCATGACTCGCGCGGGAGGGTGGCACGTATTTGTCAGTGGGTTTGCGGCACCGAATTTAATCTGGCCTATACGTTGCGCGTTCCAAATTGCCACCACCTAGCACGGCTGTCCCTTTGTCATTCTTTCCACAATTAATTAGAAAGAAATATATAAATGCGAGGGTTAGGAAAATTGGATATAACCTAACAAAAAGTTACAGAGAGCCTCGCTTTGGACCATGTATATGAGATGTTTTTGATCCAATTCTTACACTGCGGTTATACCTAGAACGACAATGTATTCGAAAGGTAAGATATTCAGCAGGGCAGAACAGACCGCATTTTTAAGAAAAAGGAGCAGATAATACAAAAGAATACAGGTCCCGGTTGTCTTAGTAAGATATTCGTAAGGCTGGAAAACTTGCGACTAATACGGTCAAACTCGACTATACTCCGCAAAAAAGAGAAATTTAATGTATGCACACATTAGGATGAGAAACTGAGGGAAAGTGAAGGCAACAAAACGCATCATCTTGCTAATGGAGCTCTACAAAACTTTTCAGACCACTGTTTCCACAATCCTGATTATCTGGGATATTACTTAACAATGTCTACAAGTACGTCGTTGAAGTTGCCATTTTTGAAGAGAGAGCCGACTGGTTACAGAGGAAGTTACACTGCACTTTGATGAGAAAAGAGCTACGGATCGGCTATAATCCGATACATCGAGAACCATATCAGAATCCTTGTCCTTGGTGGCACGTTACTGTACAGGGTGCGCCATAAATATGGTAACAAAAAATCGGGCTACAGAAACCACAGTTCGTTTTGATACAAGGTTACTTCATGTGAGCTATTCACTACACATCGTATTTACGAAACGAACACACGGTCATCTTATATAACCATCTCCCGTACTACTAGCTCGAAGACACTTCGGTTACTCATCAACGGTGGCACGCAGAGTTTTTTTGGGAAACTCCGGCCTGGGCTTTCTCCAATGATTTCGTAGGAGCGGCGGCAGTGGTCTGTTTTGAGGCGTAGGCTTTCCTCTCTCTCTCTCTCTTTTCTCTCTCTCTCTGGACTATATAAAGCGGCCCATCGGATGGTGGTCCGGGAAATAGGAGGATTGGAGGCTGGGATCATATCGAGAACATTTCCTTGACACCACTCTTTATCTTTCCATTCGTAAGTGCGCCATAGCTTTCGAATCGTATCCCTGGAAAAACCTTTGACCAGGAGCTGCATCCTTTCAGAAAAACCCTTCTTGAAGATGTTTGGTTAAATCTTATACCTTTCTCAACCAAAATTTGGGATATCGCTCTGATGGAAGAGATTCTAATCCAAACCCTTCAGCATTCGTAGTGTGAATTATACGTACACTCTGGGATCTCAACTTTTCTTCCGCGCTGAACAACCTTTGGCCTGAAAATGTGTGTCGATGCGCGTGCCGCGTGCAGTAACGCACGGCATTTGTTTTTCTCTCCGACTTTTCCGTCAAAAAGATAAAAGGTTTCCGAATCCTATCCCGATACAATTGTATTTACCCATGGTAGATTCTTCCTATCGTAGTAGAACATACAATCAAATCAGCAGTCATTTTTCTCGTGTTTCTGTAGGTTCCGTAGCATACTCCTTCACAAGCAACTGTATTCGGAAAAGCGATCGTATGTAAGACAGGGCGGCCGTTTTGAGGTTTATCGTTGACCTTTCTACACATCGCGATTAAAGAGGCTGTCATGCGGGAAATGTCGAAACGAAGAGCGATCCCGGAGAAGGACTCACCAAATGCGCGCAAAGACGAAACGGTAGGTGGATGTCTGCGAAGCTCCATCGTTTTTCGAAATCTAACAAATTGAGAGCACCAAAGTGGGTGTATGGGCTAAGGTATATCATAAACATAAGGAAAGGTGCAGATTTGAAGGAACCCCTCAAACGAGGGAATTACGGACGTCTGAAAAATTGTTACCATATTTCTGGCGCACCCTATATATTTGCCTTAGAGTGGCGGCACTTGTATATTATTATATGTCAGGACATTTTCAAAAGAATATAACGAGAGACAATGAATAATGATCAGTAGCAACAACAATTTACATATGTAAGTACAGTGGTCATACAAATGCAGTGTCCATAGTGTCCATATAAAAAAAGGGACGTGACAGATAGCAAGAAACACTGTCCTCCAAAACAAGGAAAATAAGGAAAAAAGAGGAGACAGAAGCGTTGGCGACGTGACTGTTCCGCTTCGAAATAAGTACATCGCACGAAAAACGAATAACAGACCATCCTTCGAATTCGATTGGTCAAAGAACCATGCACGACTTCTTCTGTTTTAACTGTTTTGGATTCATGACCGCGCGGACAGCCTCCTCGAAAACCTTCAACATTTAATCTCACGGTAAGAATCCACTGAGCAAAATGGACAAAAAGCGAACCTGCTTTAATCCTTGTTGTGTAAGAGCTGAACATTCCAGGTATTTAACCGCTTTGATTTTCTGTGCACACTTCTGCCCTTGACTTCTTGTTATTGGCGGCCTCTCCTCGGTCGCACCTCTGCGAAGACTCGCTTCATCTCGCAGATCTAATTTCGTTCCTAAAAGATCTGACGCCGGCAGTGAATGGATCGTAGAGAAACGAGGAAATTCGTTTAAAAGTGTTCTCCCAACTTACCAACAAGTAGTATAGGCGCATCCGGACAATGTTGGCGTATCTCTGGTATCCATTTAGTAGCCACATTATCAAACGAAACTGGTGAAACAATGCTGAAGCAAAGCACGAAAACATCCGTTTGTGGGTAGCTCAACGGTCTAAGGCGATCGTAGTCTTCCTGGAACAAATGAAAATTTAAAATTTGCAAAGCTGCAGGGCTTTTTCATTGAAGTCTAGCAAATAATGTTGTGTTGTTTTTTTGCATTTAACGACTTTTTGACCTGCGAGGTGATTCGCCTCCTACTTACACCGTCCTATCCGGAATGTGGTTTGAAGACAAAGTTCGCGATAGAGATGTTTACCGTGCTTTCTTACTGGGACGGATCTCTGGCTCTGGGATGCTACATGAACGTTGTCTTATTAAAAAAACGGGCCAGATTAGGCGCAATAAAGGCTAAAAACCAGTCGGAAAACAATCTGTTTCCCGGTCACCCAACAGGAAACGGATTGTTGATGGTCTTCTGCAGAGGCTGCGGGCTGCGCCATCAGAACATGATCACCATTCACACGACGCTAGCGGGGAGGGGGAGGAGGGCGATTGGCCGATTTCAGAAGTAGGGTAGAGAGGAATGAAGAAAAGATGAACGTGATGGAAGGAAGAGTGAAAGAATCAGATGATATGGATTATTCCGCTATAAAAGTGCAATCAGTGCGAGGAACAAACATTCTCCATCTCTCGCTGTTTTGATATACCGCAACTGCCGATCCGGACGAAGAACGAACGATTCACCGGATTGCGTAAGCCACGATCCAGAAGTCAGAGAGAAGAATGGATATAAACGGCGCCGATGTTAAGGACAGCAGAGGAGCCGCCACCATTCTGCCACAAAGGTGCAAGATTAGGAAGCCTAACGGTTGTGCCGGGCCCCAGGTCCTGGGATGTTATGACGCAAGTTTGTTTACCGACTTCCTCGCTCTGAGGAGGGTGGTAGACGAGAGGAACGAACGACTGCTCTTTCTTCAGCCATAAGTTGAGTTACCAAGATGTAGGTAACCCAGACTATGACTCAGCGTCAAGTCCTCAACTCAAACTTGAGTTGTTATTTATTGCAGGGCAGCTGAAGGTTACGGACTTGGCACTGCGGAAGAATGCCAATTTGAAGTGCTAAGGAACCACAGGCACTCCATGGTTACGGCGGCGTTTATCGGTGAGAGGCAATCGACGGACACAAGGAAGCAATTGGCGGAGAAAGAAAATTTGGCTTGATTTGATTTCATTACATGAGCATCATGTGTACAGCGTCATGTGAACTAGACAAGGCAAAGGGATTCCCAAGAACGGGAGTACGGTTGGTCCGGAACCCCGGATCACTTAAGATGAAAATTAACAGAGGTAACGATGAAAAGCAGCTGGAAATACCAATCAAGAAAGAAAAAAGCGAAGAGAAAAAACTAAACGTAATAAAAACAACAGCAAGAATGTATAGTAGAATACAACAAACGGTTTAGACTAGTTTGCGGAACTGAGCAACGTTTTCGGCATGCCTCCCCTCTTGATAATTTTATTAAAAGCTGAACCTGCATGATGAAAAAAGAAATGAATTCTAAGGCTCTTGCTAGATCTAGCAAGATACATATATCCTGGCACTAGCTCTACGGGTACGCAAGTCTCCTTCCCCGAGCAGTTTATTTCTGTCAACCAATACCTTACTTTTTAGAGCATAACTACATCATTTATTCTCCTTCTTCTTTCAAGCAGACGTAGTATTTCATTACATTTCGAGCTATTAGGCATTTTAGCATAGTCGTAGCCGTGAATTCTGATCAGTGATTTCCTGGTAGTCATTTTAAACTTTCTTGAACGCTTTAGCAAAAGACATTTTGTGAGAAGAATATGTAACGGTCCCGTATCCCAACACAGGGCAAATGTAAGATTGTAAGCCTGAAGGAGAAGCCCTACAGCTAACGCCTTCGAAAAGTTTGTAAGTTTTATTGGAGGCTTTGTTAATGATGATATTTATATGGTCATCAACGAAACTAAGATTGTTCGAGAAACCCAAATCAGAAATTTTTTAACCGTCTGAAGGGCCCTCCCGTACATATGGTAGCAAAAGAGTGGAGACTGCGTAGGTGAAGAGAGAATCAAAACCTTTAATTTCACAATTGATAACGGATGTTCCCACGCTTTAGACCATTTACTCACAACATCAATTGCTTTTTCAAGAATACAACAATCAGCCTCAGTTTGAATGACCATATAAATTTTGAGATCATCCGCAAAGACCTTACACTCACCTCCGAGAGGAATAATTGAAAAAATAAGTTCAAAAGTATATATGCTGAAAAGTAAAAGCGAGAGTACGCCACCTTACAAAACTCCACTTGATGCCCTTTGAATGGAAGAACAAGAATCATTGATGCGGACCTGAAAGGTACGGTTAGTGAGGAATTCACGCAGCCATCTCAGCAACCGGCCCTTGATCCCAACTCTTTCTAGCTTGGAGACAGTTTGTTATGGGGCACTTTATCGAATGCCTTCATGAAGTCAAAGTAGATGATATGAACATCTCTCTTCCGATCAATTCCTAAGTACAGTCATCGAGAGCTTCAAGAAGCTGAGTTGTAGTTGACTTATATTTGACAAAGCCATGCTGGTTTGGGCTAATAACACGATGTTGGTCCAAGTGTTCCAACGTGAAAAGAAGCCCAAGAGCAGACGGAAGAGAGAGCAAGTAACGGTGCTCAGATTCAACAAAAGGGACCACAACCGCTGGGAGGCCGAAAAGATTAGCTAATAGACAAGAGCGTTCGGGGAGGCTATGGACATTAGGCAGAAATGCTTTAATCCGGGCAAGGGCTCTGTCTGGTAGCGTGCGAGTTGTAATGTCTGTGATAGGTTAGGTCATTTCGGCAATTAGAAGAGTGTCAATGTTCAGGAAGACAAAGAGCACTTCGTGAAGTGTGTAATAAACGTTGACAATGGTGGTGATGTCCGTTCCTCCAAGGGAAGGAAATGGGGACTGCTCATCTTGTGGGCTGAGCTGATCGCGGACATTCGAATGCAGGCGACAGGTCCCCGTGACAGGCCGGCCTACGAACACCCACATCACATGACAATGCCGATTTCGACGTGACGCGCCATGGGACCACGTCCCCTTTCTTTCGTGCGCGGCTGGCACCCCCGCCGATGGGTGCCATGGTCCTAGGAGAAACCCCTTTCTCTACCTTGATAGACTTAGCGATATTTCGCATAACAGGAGCATCGGTTCTTATTTCATCTTATATAAAACTGAGGCTTAGAGTTGCAGTTCGGAATGGAAGCAATGCAGGTTAGAATTTTGGTGATAGTGTAAGCAGTAGGAATTCGTACAACATCCAATAAACGTGAAGATGAAGAGATCGACCGCGCGGACGCAGTCGCAAATCGGTATCATGGGTACTGCCTCCAGTGCTCCCAGGACACACACAAATCTTGCCAAAGTATCTAAACCGTTCCAGTACTACTCCATTGACTACATATGTTTGTGATAAATAAGCTCCTATAAAACATTCACGTGCACTATATAGAATATAAATAACATGAAGTTTGTTATTAAATTGAAAATATTCAGTAAGTTTCAAATATGCAAATAAAGGAAAAGACATGGTGGCACCCAACTTTGGGTGCCATGGTTCCATGCGCCAGTCAGAGTGGCACCCACCGGCGGGTGTCATGGTAGTCAAAGGGTTAATGAATCTCGATGTAATGTTACGGCGTCTACAGGAGCCGACGCGCAATTGCAAGGCTCAGTGAGTGTGAAAAGCATGCGAGGGTGTCCGTCGCAAGAACGGCATCGGGGGGCAACTAGACTAGTCTGAAAGTCACGCAGCGTACGGAAGACTCGCATTGCGACGTTAAATGTTATCACATTAACGGGACGCTCGTATGAGTTAGCAGAACTTCTATGGAGCCGACGAAGCGATTCCTGTGCCGTGCAGGAAAAGAGGTGGTCCTGCTGCAAGTCGAGGGACATTGGCCCCGATTTCAAAGACGTTCTCCGTGTTTGTCCCGAATGGCATCGGGGTGATTATCTCTGAACACTTTCGTGATTCGATAAGAAGAAGAATCGATAAGAACAAACGTGCGCTTCGATGACCGCCTAATGAAGATAATGCCATAGAACGCCAAGAATACCATTTTTCAGAGTATGCTCTGCAGACTGGATGCCTCATGCAAAAGCTGAGGTACCGTCACGAGAGGCCATAGTTGTCGCGGGTGACCTCAGTGGTCACGTGTATACTGAAAACTTCAGTATTATTATTCGTATGATACTTTGCTCTGTT